ATGCATATATGGGACGCAGTGATTATGATAATGATGTTGTGATGTGTGTGTCGTTCATCCCTACAGTTGTGTTGCTGCCCTGAGGTCCAAAATGAATATCGATCATGTTCCAGGAGTCAGTGTTGACAAAACTGTCGCTGAGTTTCTTCAACAATCAAGAGGAGTGAGATAATCACTCGACTCCCAAAACAGCCGATGTAAGTGTCTTTCTCTCACAATGCACAGTCTCTCACAGTCCAAATAAACATGTTCAAGGATCCTGTGAATCAGGGGCCACTCCTGGTGATCAATAAATACTACTGTTGTAGATCAGGGGCCACTCCTGGTGACCAATAAATACTGATGTTGTTGATGATGAATATATCAAAGTCATATTTGAGTAGATAAAACTGATGTCTCTTCTATTATGTTTCAAAGGAAAATCTCTGCCAGAGGAAGACTCCAGTTCCTTCAACCTGGGCCCCTGAAGCGTGACTGTGTGTGGCTGTGTGTGTGTGTGACTGTGTGTGCGTGTGACTGTGTGTGCGTGTGGCTGTGTGTGCGTGTGGCTGTGTGTGCGTGTGGCTGTGTGTGCGTGTGGCTGTGTGTGCGTGTGGCTGTGTGTGCGTGTGGCTGTGTGTGCGTGTGGCTGTCTGTGCGTGTGACTGTGTGGCTGTGTGTGCGTGTGACTGTGTGGCTGTGTGTGCGTGTGGCTGTGTGTGCGTGTGGCTGTCTGTGCGTGTGACTGTGTGGCTGTGTGTGCGTGTGGCTGTCTGTGCGTGTGACTGTGTGGCTGTGTGTGCGTGTGGCTGTGTGTGCGTGTGGCTGTGTGTGCGTGTGGAAGTGTGTGCGTGTGGCTGTGTGTGCGTGTGGCTGTGTGTGCGTGTGGCTGTCTGTGCGTGTGACTGTGTGTGCGTGTGGCTGTGTGTGCGTGTGACTGTGTGTGCTTGTGACTGTGTGTGCGTGTGACTGTGTGTGCGTGTGACTGTGTGTGCTTGTGACTGTGTGTGCTTGTGACTGTGTGTGCTTGTGGCTGTGTGTGCGTGTGGCTGTGTGTGCGTGTGACTGTGTGGCTGTGTGTGCGTGTGGCTGTGTGTGCGTGTGGCTGTTTGTGCGTGGCTGTGTGTGCGTGTGACTGTGTGTGCGTATGACTGTGTGTGCTTGTGGCTGTGTGTGCGTGTGGCTGTGTGTGCGTGTGACTGTGTGTGCTTGTGACTGTGTGTGCGTGTGGCTGTGTGTGCGTGTGGCTGTGTGTGTGTGCGTGTGGCTGTGTGTGCGTGTGGCTGTGTGTGCGTGTGGCTGTGTGTGCGTGTGGCTGTGTGTGCGTGTGGCTGTGTGTGCGTGTGGCTGTGTGTGCGTGTGGCTGTGTGTGCGTGTGGCTGTGTGTGCGTGTGGCTGTGTGTGCGTGTGGCTGTGTGTGCGTGTGGCTGTCTGTGCGTGTGGCTGTCTGTGCGTGTGACTGTGTGGCTGTGTGTGCGTGTGGCTGTCTGTGCGTGTGACTGTGTGGCTGTGTGTGCGTGTGGCTGTGTGTGCGTGTGGCTGTGTGTGCGTGTGGCTGTGTGTGCGTGTGGCTGTCTGTGCGTGTGACTGTGTGTGTGCGTGTGGCTGTGTGTGCGTGTGGCTGTGTGTGCTTGTGACTGTGTGTGCTTGTGACTGTGTGTGCGTGTGACTGTGTGTGCTTGTGACTGTGTGTGCTTGTGACTGTGTGTGCTTGTGGCTGTGTGTGCGTGTGGCTGTGTGTGCGTGTGACTGTGTGTGCTTGTGACTGTGTGTGCGTGTGGCTGTGTGTGCGTGTGGCTGTGTGTGCGTGTGGCTGTGTGTGCGTGTGGCTGTGTGTGCGTGTGGCTGTGTGTGCGTGTGGCTGTGTGTGCGTGTGGCTGTGTGTGCGTGTGGCTGTGTGTGCGTGTGGCTGTGTGTGCGTGTGGCTGTGTGTGCGTGTGGCTGTGTGTGCGTGTGACTGTGTGTGCTTGTGACTGTGTGGCTGTGTGTGCGTGTGTGCTTGTGTGCTTGTGGCTGTGTGTGACTGTGCTTGTGACTGTGTGACTGTGCTTGTGACTGTGTGTGACTGTGCTTGTGACTGTGTGTGACTGTGTGTGACTGTGTGTGACTGTGCTTGTGGCTGTGTGTGCTTGTGGCTGTGTGTGCTTGTGACTGTGTGTGCTTGTGACTGTGTGTGCTTGTGGCTGTGTGTGCGTGGCTGTGTGTGCTTGTGACTGTGTGTGCTTGTGACTGTGTGTGCTTGTGACTGTGTGTGCTTGTGTGTGCTTGTGGCTGTGTGTGCGTGGCTGTGTGTGACTGTGCTTGTGACTGTGTGTGACTGTGCTTGTGACTGTGTGTGACTGTGTGTGACTGTGCTTGTGACTGTGTGTGACTGTGCGTGTGGCTGTGTGTGCTTGTGGCTGTGTGTGCTTGTGGCTGTGTGTGCTTGTGGCTGTGTGTGCTTGTGGCTGTGTGTGCTTGTGGCTGTGTGTGACTGTGTGTACTTGTGGCTGTGTGTGCTTGTGGCTGTGTGTGACTGTGTGTGCTTGTGACTGTGTGTGACTGTGTGTGCTTGTGACTGTGTGTGCTTGTGACTGTGTGTGCTTGTGTGTGCTTGTGGCTGTGTGTGCTTGTGGCTGTGTGTGCGTGGCTGCTTATGAATTATTTTGAGGAAATGTGTTCAAACAAGCTACAACATAAAGATGAACATTTTGTTAGATATCTCTGTCAGTGTTCGCTGCAGCAGCGATGGATAAGGACCTGGATAATAACAGTGTTATTCATTTGAGCAAAAAGTGATAACACAAACGTTGCCTTACCATCACTTGTAATTATTTGTCTTATTAGGGACATTGTGTATATTTTTCCGGCTATAACTTCAAATCTTCTTTTACATAATAAAGTTTCTTAGACTCGTTACAGACTGTATTTGTTTTCCTACTATAAAACAAAGCACATTGAAAGAGGTGAATGTATTTTTTTTTATTTTGAAATAGTACAACTACAAACATATTTCAGAACTGCAGAGTGGACGTGCACCATGGGGGCCGCTGAGGACGTGCACCATGGGGGCCGCTGGGACGTGCACCATGGGGGCCGCTGAGGACGTGCACCATGGGGGCCGCTGAGGACGTGCACCATGGGGGCCGCTGAGGACGTGCACCATGGGGGCCGCTGAGGACGTGCACCATGGGGGCCGCTGAGGACGTGCACCATGGGGGCCGCTGAGGACGTGCACCATGGGGGCCGCTGAGGAAAGCACGTTTTCAATGTCTGTTGGCACCTTTCAGACGCACCAGGGAAAGGTCTGGGAGGATCTGGTCATCAGCTTCTCTGGACAGAGGGCGTTCAGTGCTTCCTGAAAGAACCGTTATGACAAATGACTTTATATATTCTGTTACTTGTAGCTTTTCTTTCAAAGTGGTGAGTTTCCTTACAGTGTAATAGTGTAACGTAATTAGTTATGACAGTACTTTTGCGTTTCGGACAAGCTTTACTGGAATTGTTTTTCAGTCCCACATCTCACTGTACAGCTCTGATACACTTTGATTTTGTCTTCATTCTCTGAACAATAAGCACATAATACAGATGTTGATTACATCAATAAATGTATCTTTATTTTGTGACATTGAGAAGGCAGCTTCCAGTGAGATGCAGCTTTACTTTCACATAATACATTACTACAGTGTTGTCTATAAAGAACTCCAAATATACAAATTGTGAGGAAAGCAGTAATGTATTACTTTAAATAACCTTCATGTAAAGCTTTGTTGTTGTAATGTATATGCATTACATTCATCTAATACATATGCACTGTAACAGATGTTACAGTGCATAATGTTGAGACACGTCACACTGCAATCTGCAACATTATGTTTATTCACAACAGTTATCAGTGTACCAACTATAAAAGCAGTGTTATTCTATAAAAGACTGGATTGTTTTTATCTCTTTCTTAGTGATGCTATCCTAGCTAACACCAAGCTGCTTCCAGTGTTATAGCTAGGTTACAACTGAGCTATTCTATGCTAATATTTCACTCCCAGAGTTTGTTGTTAATATACTTACGAGTAGACCCGACGGAGATGAATCTGCTGCTGCCATCACCAACACGATGCGCGTTCATGTGGTGTGACGAGGAGACGGGGGCGGGGCTACTAACTCGCTCAGGCAGAAGAAACTGCCGGAAACGACCAAATCGCTTACTGCTGCTTTAACTTATAAACTGCAAAAATGTTTCTTATAGTGCTCTCTACACGTCCTGGTCAATTTTTTGACATTTTAGTGCAAATTCGATACAATCTCACTTTTGAGCCTAAAACAGTCTACATTTGAATATTGTGCCTGGCCTCTCATTGGCTCTGGCCGCTGCGTGACGTCCGTCGCTCTGCTCTTGTGGTATAAAAGCCTCACACACGCTCCCGTAGAGAGTTGGAATAGCGAGTGAGCATTTTACAGTGATTTTCAGGTTAGCAATTTATTAGCTTGAGTGTTGCCAGCAATGACAACTGTCTGATTTTTAATGACAAGACAAGCAATACAAATTTTCAGAATGGCAATTGTGTTTATATTGATATGTATCCTCCTCCACCTTTTGCGATGAAGGTGGAGAGAAGTCCACCTCAAAAGAGAACTCTGTCGCGAAGCTGCCGTCGCCGTCACTCTCGACTCTAAGCCCCCTTGCTTGTCTCCTGGTCTTTTTATATGTGGGCGGAGTAAGGCTGGGCACTGGTGTTTAGTTGACCTTTAACCAGCGCCTCAAAACACACACATTTTTTTGCTTGTTTTAGCAGAGTCGAAAGTGACGGTGACGGCAGAGGTGGACTTCTCTCCATGATCATACAGTCTGATGCAAAGTCTGCGGAGGCTTCTGCATTCCATGGATGATGTCCAGGCAAAACGAGCTCTGGTCAGGCATGTTGTTCTTTACAAACTGTTAAATCATGCCAAGCCCTTACTGAAACTTTTCATATTCGATTGTGTGTGCTTGGTGTGAGGTGTGTGTTCACGTGTGTGTGTTCACGTGTGTGTGCGTGTCTCACTGCGGCTCTGTTTGCGCTCCTGTTGGCTCTGAAACCACACTCTCTCTGGCTCCGAGGTTCCGCTCTCCAGACGCTTCTGCGCCACAGACAGCTGCACAAGGTACACACAGGTCAGAGGTGTCCACACACACACACTTCAGAAGTGTCCACACACACACAAACAGGTCAGAACTGTCCACACACACACAAACAGGTCAGAACTGTCCACACACACACACCTTTGCCTCGGACGCTGCCATCTCACGCTCCTCCCGCTCAAGCCGGATCACCGCCTCCACGTCCTTCTCTAGTTTGGAGATGTGGTCCCTGAATTTCAGAATGACCTCTGCACACACAACAGCAACACACTTTTGAAGGCACACGAGATAGTACTACTGTGTGGGCGTCTGGCTCTGTGTGTGTGTGCGGTACCCGTGTGTGTCTGCTCAGAGTGTACCTGGCGGCAGCACGCGGGCCTTGACCCCACTCCTGGCAGTCTTCACCACCTCCTTGAGCATCCTCCTCTCTGCTTCTCCCACGAGAGACACTGAGCGGCCAGAGCGGCCCGCCCGAGCCGTCCTGCCGACTCTGTGCACATAGTGCTTCTGTGTGGAGGGCATGGTGAAGTTGATCACCTGTGAAACCAACAAATATGCACAAAAAAGTTTAGAGGCAGAGATAGTTAAATGATGATTTAGTCCCTGCTGATGCAGGATGCTCACACCACCATGTTTGACCGTGGGGTGTTTCCATGGTGATGAGAGTTTGGGCAGACAAAATTCCTTTTAGCCACATCTGACCACAGCACCTTCTTCCAAGTCGATACTTGGCAAATGCATATCGATAATCGATCACGGGAGAAAGTATCGCGATATATCGAAAACTCGATATATCGTCACACTCCTACTCATGAAGCATGAACGAGCCCCTTGAAGCCGAGGTCAGTTATTTCCGCCTCTGGGGCGAGCCCATGTTCAGCCAACAGCACTGTCCTTTCGTCTGTCGGCCCCAGTGTGGTGGTCACAGGGCTGTAATAATATGCCCAAGTCGCAATACACATTTCAAAACCACTATATTATGCCACGAGACATCTTAATTATAAATTATTATAGCATTATAATAGAAATGTAAAAGCACAGGTCAAATTGCCAAATATACTGTCTTCAAAAGTGAGCATTAAACTGTGCCTTACTAAAGTATCCATACAGCTGGAACTTTACTCTGTACCAAACAAATATTTCACTTTTATATTTCACTTCACAACAAAGTAAACAACTGAAGAGAAAGCAAAATGATACATGATTTTGTTCATCAAGTAATCATACAGCACGAGATAATATGTGGAATTCTCATCTCCCATTAACCTCCTGAGACCCGAGCATTTGTCTGGTGTGCATTTTATATATTTTTTTGCTATTTAGGATAAGTAGGACCCAATAAGTATAATACCTAAATTGTGATTTTGTACAGGAAGTAGTTTTTGAGAAAAAACATGTCCTCGTATGAGGACAGTGGGTCTCTCATAACCTAAAGAGAAAATGTATGATCTTTTAGGCCGGAAGGTCCTAATTAGTTGAAATTCAAAATTTCAGCTTGATCCAATTAGTACTTCTCTCAAAAATCAATGTCCTCACATGAGGACAGTGGGTCGACCTTACTATACAATACAAATAGACTCCATTGGTCTAAAATAGTATATAACAGTTTATTTGAAAAATGTAAACATCAAAGTTAGACATAAAATCCAAACAGCTCTATCTTCAAAGCCTAAAAATGTCATGGTGTGGACATTTTGACCTGGTTGAGTTTGAATCCTGCCTGTCCTGTTGATTGTTGCCCCGCCCTAATGTGATTCACCTGTGTGTCCCTGTGTGTCCCTGTGTGTGTGTATATACCCTGTGCCCTTCCTCACTTGTTGTCCGTCCATTGTCTCCACAATGTTTGTCCTGTCTTCAGTTCTGTTTTTACATTACCTTGGATTTATTTTATTAAATTACTTTGATTTTCAGTCCTGCAATTTGGGTTCCCTTTTTCTTCATTCATCCACATGACAAAAAATTGGCTATACATAAATAAAACCGCAAAATACTGTGTAAACTGTCTATTTCAAGCCTTCAATATGGCTGAATTGAATTGATAAATACAATACTAGAACAAATAATGGCAAATATTATTAACAGTCCTAAAACAGTAAAATTCTGCTGAACAGCTTATGAACCGGGGCTTTTTTCAAACTAGCTCCCTCTCTTTTTCTAGAAAGCAATCTGTCTGCCTTGTTTGGAAGAGCCCTATTGGCAAGTGTGAAATGCTGCAAAGCAGTTGCATTCACTTTGCAAGCACAGGTACACATTGCATGTCATGCATCGGACACAGGATTTTCCAATGCAGTCTTGTGCTCTGCAACGCATGGGGTTTTTCAAGGCTACCATCTCCGGGTTAGAGTTAGGATTACAATATCCCCAGTCGAGGTCAGCAGCTCTCCACCCGCACCATACACGGTGTTGGCAAAGCACTGCTTCCCCCTCCTGAGGCGCCGGAGGGTTTGCCATAACCTTTTTGAGGGCGACCGATAGTCATGCTCCATGGACTCTCCGAACTCCTCCCAGTGTCGGGTTTTTGCCTCTGCAACAGCCCGGGCCGCGGCACGCTTGGCCTGCCGGTACTGGACAGCTGCCTCCGGAGTCCCACAAACCATCATTGCTCGATAGGACTCCTTCTTCAGCCTGACGGCATCCCTTACTGCCGGTGTCCACCACCGGGTTCGGGGATTGCCGCCGGGACCAGCACCAGAGACCTTGCGACCACAGCTACGAGCCGCTTTATTGGTGATAGAGGAAGAGAACATGGTCCACTCGGACTCAATGTCCCCCTCCTCTGGGTCCTGGGAGAAGCTCTCCCGGAAGTGTGAGTTGAAAGTCCGTCTGACAGGGGGCTCAGCGAGACGTTCCCAGCAGACCCTCACTATACGCTTGGGTCTGCCAGGTCTGACCGGCTTCTTCCCCTGCCAGCGGATCCAACTCACGACCAGGTGATGATCGGTTGACAGCTCCTCCCCTCTCTTTACCCAAGTGTCCGAGACACGCGGTCGAAGGTCAGATGATACGACAACAAAGTCGATCATCAACCTCCGGCCTAGGGTGTCCTGGTGCCACGTGCACTGGTGGACACCCTTGTGCTCGAACATGGTGTTCGTGATGGACAGACCGTGACTGGCACAGAAGTCCAACAACTGAACACCGCTCGGGTTCAGATCAGGGGGGCCGTTCTTCCCGATCACCCCTCTCCAAGTGTCACTGGCATTTCCCACATGGGCGTTGAAGTCCCCCAGGAGAATAACGGAGTCCCCGGGAGGTGCACCGTCCAGTACCCCCTCCCAAGGACTCCAAGAAGGCAGGAACTCGGCACTGCCGTTAGGCCCGTAGGCCGTCACAACAATGGGAGACTTGTCCCACCCGGAGGCGGAGGGACGCGACCCTCTCATTCACCGGGGAGAACTCCAACACATGGCGGCTGAGATGGGGGGCAATGAGTATGGCCACCCCAGCTCGCCGCCTCTCCCCGTGGGAAACACCAGAAGATGACTGACAGGTATGAGATGATGATACAATCATCCCCATCTGAGAAGTCCTCTATCTCAGAGTTGTCTGCAATTGCCAACAGCAATTGTTCTGCTCTTGACAATGAAAGTGTGCCTGTAATGATAATGTTAAAAACCAACATCAAAATCTACAGTATATCAGTGACACTTCATAGCTTGGCTATCATGTGCTAGCTATAGCCTAGCTATATTGTTTATGATTTAGAATTTAGCAACACTAAACAATACTTAGCATATACCACTTAGTACTTAAATATACTATTTACAACTGTAAACCACATAACTAAGCAAATGTGTGATTCAAAATAACTATTTACAACTGTAACTTCATCTAAATCTTCCACACGGTTAGCTAAACAGATAGCGGTACATAGTCCTAGCGTCCTCAAACGAGTGCTTCACTTTTACTGACATCCTAGCCTGCTACTACAATCAAAATTTGTCAAATTTCAAACTCCATATGAAGCTAGAGACATTATTGTGCATAAAAAAATTGATTTCATTCATAAAATGTTGATAGAATTTTTACCTGGGGCATTTTTCTTCTGTAAACTCTTGTAGAAGTCTTTTGCTGATATTGCCACCATTTTTTTCCTACTGCCTTAAGTGTAATTCTATCATATCACCACAAGATGGCGCGGGCAGTGTCCCTAAATGTGGCCATCAGGTCAAGGATGTAAAAAATTTAGTATCATTGTGCCAAGAGGCAAAAATGTAATGTCCTCGTATGAGGTCGCAGGGTCTCAGGAGGTTAAGTCTGACACTCTACCCTGTCTCTGCTGAAGAAAAGCACCCCCATAACATTTTGTTGTCCCCCCATATTTGACACTAGGGATAGTGGAGGAGATGAGCAGTGTTAGTTTAGGATCTGAGCCAAAGAGTTGACCACAGCATCTTCTTCCACATGTTTAAAGTGTCCCCTGCTTGGCTTCTTGTGGCTTTAATCCAACAATGTCTTTCTATTTGCCACTTTCTCATAAAGGCCTGATTTATGTAGTAATAATACTAATATTTGATATATGTACAGTTTCTCCCAGGTGAGCTGTGGATCTATGCATCTCGACCGTGTTGTCCTTGTTCGAGCTGAGGGTTTGGGCAGACAGGAGAGTCTTGGTAGATTTGCAGTGGTGCCACACTATTAAAAGTTCAAAGTGTTGGAAATGTTTATATCGTCTAACCATGTGTCAAACTTTGCCACAACTTCATCAGTGACCTCCCTGGTGGGCTCTTTGGCCTTCTTGATGCAGTTCAGTGACAGACCACAGGCCTCAGAGCTTTGGTCAATTTAGTTTTTAGGGAAAGCTGTGAACATTCAGCAGCCATAGGGAATGTTTATAAGAATCGTGTTGTATGAATATTTGTGCATGTCCCACTTTTTTCTGTCACTTCACAGTTGTCCATAACTTGTGTGTGACCTTTCAGTAAAAACATCTAAATGAGATCTCTATATTTATGGTTGTAAACATGAAAGTGTTGGTTAAGGTGTATTAGTAATTTCGAGAGACACTGTACGGTCCCAATTATTGAATCCCTATGAAGCTGTTCTCAAATCCATTACGACAAAAGTATTGCTTCAGTCATACATTATTTTGTTACAGCCAAAGTGGTCCCAGTGTGGTGCTCCGTGTCATGAACTAAATGTGGTGCTCAAGGACACACTCACCGTCTTGACCCCATCAATGTCGAGGCCTCGGGCTGCAACATCTGTGGCCACCAGAACATCCACCTGCTCGTCTTTGAACCTCCTGAAACAGGCACAGCACAAGCGTGAGTGCACAAATACACGCACACACACACACACACGCGCACACACACAGCTCAAGGTCAGACCTGAGGTTCTCCAGCCTCTGCGTCTGGCTCAGCTCTCCGTGCAGCTCCCCCACCTTCAGCCCCATCAGGCCCAGCAGGATGTGCAGGCGGTGGGCCTGTTTACGGGTCTGAGTGAACAGCATCACGTGGTCCTGGAAGGTCCGCGTCAGCAGCGCTGGACACACCAGAGCAACACAAAACCAACCATATTTTCATCAAATATCACGGGAAACATTTAAAAGATCCAGAGTAGTTGAGGCTGTTCACATGAGCCCCTTTATTCTACATAATCGGTCTTCAATGGTTCTTAAACATGATGTAGAATCTAAACCTTAGCTTTGAAGATAATTAGAGGATCAAAGGCAAATCACAGATGAGCTAGATTTAACACTGAGGTTTGGATAGAGCAGAACGCCACCTGCAACGACGGCCTCGCGATCGCCCTCACGATTAGCTCGAATCCTTACGAACTCCTGCCGTAGGAATGGAGCCACGTCTGTGTTGCTGTTCACAAAGATCTTCACCGGGTCCCGCAGAGAGACAGCGGCCAGGTCCTTCACCTAAGCACAGAGGTCACAGCTTTATCACACCAAAGTAAGGAAGTAAGTAATGTTTATTTATGTACCGCCTTTCACAGACCAGAGTCTCAAAGCGGTTTACAATTGTCATTTTTGGGCATCGTCTCTGACTCCACACAGAGATGGGAGGGGCCAGTACAGGAGGCACAGACCTATTGTGCATGTTTTTAGTGGTAGGGGAAACCTGAAGCAAACTAGATATTTCACCACACTTTTAATAAATTACACAAACCACTTCTCCTAAATGTTAAATGTAGTGGTGTCATTTAAAATAAGCTTTTTCAAGACCAAACAAATTAAATAGAAAAGTTCTTTAGAAGAATTGAGTCCTTTTGCTTTATTTTCCAAGGCAGAGAAAAAAAAACATGAAAAGTTTAGATAGATCAACATGGGATTACAAACTGCAGATCTGTGTTTAGTGTCAACCTAAGACAACAGCAGGAAACGAAGGAGAGTTGTTTTAAAGCGTTTAACCAAGACAGGAACGTGTCAAAATGAAATGACCAAAACAAACATCCTACTTTCTGATTAAATCCCAGCATCAGTGCAAAAACCAGAGGGAGTGTGGATTTTATTTTTATTTTGTTTTTTTACAAGGTTATAAGAGGAAAGGGCAGTGTGACGGTCCAAACTCTGATGCCCTTTACTCCCCCAAACACGGCTTGCTTCGCTGTCTTTATGCAAAACACTGTTCCTTGTGTGTGGTTTTATTACTTTAAGCAAAGATAACAGGTCGCTGGTCGCAGTGCTCATGTTGGACACGCAAAAAGACTAGTTTGCGAGGCGGATGATTAATGATTCGGGTCACTATAAGGTTCTTGTTTAATCGTAAATATCATATGTTACATGGGAAAACATATCTGCCAACTCTCCTGTACATATGTGTGAGCGTGCTCCACAGAATACCTGGTCGGTCAGCGTGGCGGAGAACAGCATGGTCTGTCTGTTGTGTGAGCACATTCTGATGATCTCCTTCATCTGCTCTTCAAAGTATTCGTCCAACATCCTGTGGAGCACACGTGAAAAATGCGGAATTATTCACTTAAAGACCTTATGACGGGTTTTAAAAAAAAAAAGTGGATATCAAAATTGAATGACAATGTCAATTTGAAAGAGATTCCGGCAAAAAAAATCCTATATTTTATAAAAAGAACGTGTTTTTCATGAATTTAAGTTGTCTATGCTCTAACCTGTGTGTGACGTCACAGCGGGTTACGCCCATGCATTGAAAACCATGGATCTATGCCACAGGACTGCCTTTTCTCTCTTCTCTCCACTGATGCCCAACACAATACTGCCCTCTACAGGTGACAATTGATCATTACACATAAATTGCCCTTTTGAGTGTGAAAGTGTCCGAGGTGGGATTTGAACCCAAGTATCTGGATTGACAGTCCATCGACACAACCACTGGACTATCTCAGTGACAACGAAATGTGACATTCTAGTACTTATCTTAGACTCGCTGTACACGGCCTCATCTTGAATATCCGCGAAAAAAGAACGAATACCAAATTGTAAACAACTTACAGCGTTGAAACGTACCCACTCTGACGTCACCAAGGGCTGTGAAGCGTTTTCGTCTCTAAGGGCGTTGCTATGGGGTTATTTCGATTTGGGGGAATCAGACAAAAAAAACAACAACTGATTTTGAAACCTTTAGTAGTTCTCTTCTAATATAAAATGGTATTAAAACTGTATTTCTAAATAAATCAAACCCGTCATAAGGTCTTTAAAACAGAACGTGTTTCTGCCCGACATCAGTGTGATCAGTGTCACCAACCTTTTTAAAGCTGACGAGGGCTACCTTAAGATAATGAAATTGCAAGACCTACCAGCTCAAAACATATGTATAGACATAAGAAACATTCTATAAAGATTACACAAAATAGTAGATATGAATAAGTTAGATAATAATAATTTGGTTTTGACCATTTATAATGCATCGGTTTTATATAGTGCTTTTTTGGACACTCAGAGACATGTCATTATTCAGTCACTCCAAACACGGTGGTGATAAACTACGACTGTAGCCACAGCTGCCCTGGGGCACACTGACAGAAGCGAGGCAACCAGTCTGTGCCATCGGCCCCTCCCACCACCACCAACCACTCACACCAGACTCATTCTAGGCAATAGGGGTGAAGTGTCTTGCCTAAGAACACAACCGCAGTTTGACACTTTACAGCCGCCCCACTGTGGCTGGTGTTCCCAGAGGTTAAGTGTCTTGCCCAAGGACACAACGACAGCAGGAGTCGATGGTGAAAGTCGGGCTTGAACCCATGACCTTCTGGCTCAAAGGCCAATGCTCTACCAACTGAGCTACTGTCGCCCAAAACTTTTTTTCTCTCTCTCCAGAACGTTAGAGAAAGCCATGGTCTGCATCTGAGGTGAAGGCTGTGGAGAAGACCATGACGCCTTTCATACAGACTGGAAAAGTCCCTGGGAAGTCTCACTGCCTGGCCTGGCCTGGCCTGGCCTGGCCTCACCAGAGGACCTTAGACATCGGACATGGAGTGGCATTAAATTCTATGTCAGAAATAAAATCACTGAATTTCGAAAAAATAAAATAATAATAAAATTCCTAATTCTGTAGTAGATTTGTGTGTTTTGTATTGACCGTTTTGGAATGTTTTGTATTACTTAAAGTAGTCCCAGTAAAAAAGATCAGTGACCCCAGTATTGGCAAATACTGTGGGTCCCATATGGAACGGCCCTGTCTTAGGGACCCACCAGGTAACAAAAATGTGTGTTAACTCTCAGCAATCACCTGTCAGCCTCATCCAGCACCAGGATCTCGATGTGGCTAAGCTCAAAGCTGGGGGTGTTGTGCAAGTGGTCAATAAGACGCCCCGGGGTGGCGATCAAGACATCAGGCCCCGCCCTCAGAGCTGCCTCCTGGGACTTGATGTCCAACCCACCTGCATGGACACAAGGGCAAACACATAAGCACACATACGCCTATTAAATGTAGAAAATTCATTTTGTCTTCTTATGCTTAAGGCTTTATAAGTTCTTCTAATAAGACAAGGCAAAAAAATAAAATAAAGCTAGTACTGCTTAATTACCCGACATGTTTCGGCGGTAGACTTCCGCCTTCATCAGAGGTGACACGTGATGGTGTGTGTCTCTTATCAGCTGTTGTTGCCGGATGCCAGTCTGACAGCAGATGGATCAGTGAGATCTGTCAGACTGACCGCAGATGGATCAGTGAGATCTGTCAGACTGACCGCAGATGGATCAGTGAGATCTGTCAGACTGACCGCATGCGGCAACAGCAGCTGATAAGTGACACGTCACACCATCACGTGTCACCTCTGATGAAGGCGGAAGTCTAAAGCCTTACACATACGCCCGCACAGGCAGCCCCAGATTTGGTAAACTGTAAAAATATATCATACCTTGAAGACAAATGCAAATTTTAATTACAAAATTGGCAAGTGGGGGCATAGCATGCTCGTTTTACCTGCAGTGCACACATGGACCACACCCACATACGCAGACTGACACTGTGCTGCTGCTGAAGCATCTACTTTCTTACTTGAGTTGATTCTTATCTCCACCATATATGACCCTCAAATTTGAAGTTCAGCGACTCATTTGTCTCAAATGTATAAATATTAAAAAACATTCAATAATTATCGATATCGACAGATAGTCCGAAGCCACTATGCATAGCATGACATTGACAAGCCGGGGCCCACCCTGGAGCCAGGCCTGGAGTTGGGGCTGGTAAGAGTGTCTGGTGGCCTGGCCTTAGCCCATGGGGCCTGGTTAGGCTCAGCCCGAAATGACGACACACCACCCACAGAGGGATCCATGGGGCATCGGTGCTGAGAGGACTGGGTGGCCGTCAAAGGTAGACACCTCCACAACCCAGTTTGCACGCACAACATCTGGCTCTTTGGACGTGGATTGTCACCTCACGAGGGGTAGGTTAAGAGATACCAACGAGATATAGTCAGCCTCACCTCCACACACAGCTTGGGCCCCGGAACCCAACTCCTTGAGAGGGGTTAGACCAGGGGTTAAAGCAAAAAAAAAAGATTTGACTGAACATTTTTGCATGGAAATTTATCACATGTAAATCACAGTAATATGCAGGACCAAGTTATATTTTTAATTACAATATATTATTGTATAATAGATTGTATATTGAATACAGCTCAAATGAATTCTTCAAAGATATACAGTGTATTTTGATATGAAATATAAGTGGATCAAGCAACGAGTCAACTTTTTGACAGAATATTAGTGAGAGTAGCTTTACTTGAGGCGATATGGAGCGTCAACACTTTGGCTCTGTCTTCGTCAAAATATCGCAAAAGGACGATAAAATTCTGTCCACATTTGTTTGTGGACACGTCAATATTTTTTTTTTTTTTGCAAGTAAGCAGTTTATTTCTTTTTTAGGCATACAGGAAAATACATAGTTACAGTACAATAAACAACAAAGGTACTAGTGGGGTTAGGGTAGGGTAAGTATGTGTGTGTGTGTGTGTGTGTGTGTGTGCGTGCATGTGTAAGTGTTTGAGCTTGTGGGAGATATAAAGCTGAGAAATATATACAAACATGTACACCTACATATACTCTTTCACATATATAGACCAGGATGCAATAACTATGACAATCAAACGGCAACTAACAATAAAGAAACAACGTACAAAAAGAATAAATAAGTAGATATTTGAAAACAATGACAATAACAATACTTATGTTGTGTTTTCCCCTGTGCTAGTGTTGCGTTAAAAAAAATGTGAGGGGCCTAACAACTCCAGGTTGTTCACCCTCATTGAAAGGCCCCTCTCCACTTGCCCTGTGCTATTTGTGTTCGCTATTATTATTACCCTTACTATTATTATTATTATCATTATCAATCATTATCCTTCGTATTGTTATTATTATTATTCTAATTATTCCATATCAATATTAATATTGTTATCATCATCGTTTATTGCCCAACTCACTATGCCAATATTAGTGCCATTGCCATTGTCATCATTACCGTCACATTACATACATTTTTCTATTGTAGTATTTTGTTGTCGCAGTTGTAGTAGGATATTTAACCATGATATTGGCTTATAGTGTGTGATTGTTGAGTCCAGTTGCTATGATTGGAGGAAGGAGAGGAATGGACAGGTAGATGTGTGTGTAGAGAGTTGTGAGTAGTTTTCAGTTGATAAATGATCTAACAGGAGGTGTTTCCAAGTGGTGATGTGTATGTTTTTTTTTTGATTTCCAGTTGATTAGAATTACTTTCTTGGCGATTGTTAGCGACACCAATAGTTGTTTTGTAAGGTATTGATTGAGGTCTAGTGTGGAAGTGTCTCCGAGTAAACAGAGGGAGGGGGACATTGGGATGTGGCAGCCGAGTATGGAGGAGAGTGACTCAGTGACTAGTTGCCAGAAAGTGTTGACCGGTGTGCAATGCCAGAGAGCGTGGAGGTAGTCGTCTTTGTGATTTTGAGTGCAATGTGAGCATATTCCTGTGCTGAAACCCATTTTGGAAAGTTTGTGGTCTGTGTAGTGGTATCTATGAAGAACTTTGAACTGTATGAGTTGTAGGTTTGAGTTATTGGTCATGAAGTAAATGTTGTTACAGGTTTGGGTCCAGAAATTGGCATCGGGAGCAAATGCTAAGTCTTGTTGCCATTGTGAGATTGGAAGCGAGTGGGTATTGTCAATTCTTGTAAGTAATTTGTATATTTTGGAGTTTAGGTTTTTGGGTGCAAGCTCCAGAAGATCTGTGATGAATGGGCTTGGGTCCAGGTCTATTGTATGAATATTGATTTTATTTAGGATTATTGATCGTAATTGTGAGTATTCTAGGAAGCATTTGCTCCCGATGCCATATTCCTGAGACAGTTGTGTGAGTGATGACAGTGTGTTGTTAGTGACAATGTGACCTAAGTGCGTTATACCTTTGCTTGCCCAGGATTGGAATATTAATGGTTTATTGTTGCTTGTGAATTCCGGGTTGTGCCAGAGTGGTGTATATTTGGATGGTGTGAGAGGGGTACCTGTTATGTGATGGAGGTTCCACCAGGCTGTCAGAGCTGTAGCTATTGTGGGTGTTTTGAATAGTGGAAGTTTTTTTGTTGATTTTATTTAGAAAAGGTAGGTCTGAGATTTTGATATTGTTACATAAAGATTGTTCAATGTCGATCCAAATTAGGTCGGCTGGGTCTGGGTGGGTCCATTTATGGATGAATTGTAGGTGGCTGGCTAGGGAGTAATGATAGAAGTTTGGTGCATTGAGGCCTCCTTGAGATTTTGGTTTCTGGAGAGTGGAGAGTTTTATACGTGGGGTTTTATTTTGCCAGTAGAATTTGATGAGTATTGAGTCGAGTGATTTGAACCAGGATGAGGTGGGTTGAACTGAAGTCATTGAAAGGTGGTAAACAATTTTGGGAAGAATTGACATTTTTACAAGGGATATTCTGCCTGTGATGGAGATGGGTAGGTTTTTCCAGCGTTCTAGGTCGTTTTCTATTTGTTTTAGAAGGGGGGAGAAGTTGAGGGCGAACAGCTCTGACAGCCTGGGGGAAACTTTAATTCCAAGGTAAGTGATGTGATTGGAGCAGAGTGGGACTGGGGGGTGGGGTGCTGCCACATCCCAACTATCATGCTGTAATGGAAGTATTGATGATTTGCTCCAGTTGATGGAATATTGGGATAGTATGGAGAATGACTGTATTTGGTTTGTTGCATGGTGGAGTGATGATGTTGGATTCTGTAAGAAGAGAAGGATATCATCTGCATATAGACTGATTTTATGTTCATGGTTTTGTTTTTGAATTCCTTTTATTTTGTTGTCTTGACGGATGGATGCTGCAAGCGGTTCTATAAAGATTAGAAATAATAGAGGAGAGAGTGGGCATCCCTGGCGAGTGCCGCGGTGCAGTGTGAAGTGCTGTGATGTTAGACCATTAGTGATAACAGTAGAGGTGGGTGAGGTGTAGAGAATCTTAACCCAGTTTATGTAGGACTCCCCGAAGCCGAACCTCTCCAGTGTGGCAAACAGGAAGGTCCAGTCGACCCTGTCAAAAGCCTTCTCTGCATCGAGGAATGTGACAATAGTTTTTTGTTGATGTAATGATGACCAGTGTATTAAATTGAGTAATCTTCGTGTATTCGTGAATGAGTGTCTTCCTTTTATGAAACCTGTTTGATCTGGGTGAATTATTGAATGTATTACTGAATCCAGTCGATGGGATAATGTTTTGGCTAGGATTTTTGTGTCAACATTGATTAGGGATATGGGCCTGTAGCTGGAGGGTAGTTTTGGATCTTTATTGGGCTTGAGGATTAAGGATATTGTAGCTGCATTCATATGAGTTGGGAGTCTGGAGTTTTGTTTCGAATCTTCTAACATGCGCATGAATAGTGGAGAAAGTATGGGCCAGAAGTGTTTGTAGAACTCAGCAGGGAAGCCATCTGGGCCAGGCGATTTGTTATTAGGCATACTTTTGAGAGCAGAGAAGATTTCTGCATCTGTGATTGGTGATTCTAGCTTTGATATTTGATTTGGGAGGAGGGTGGGGAGATCAACGTTGTTAAGGAAGGAATGAATGGATTCCATGTTTGGATCAGATTCAGAGGAATATAGTTTTGTGTAGAAGCGCTGGAATGTGTCATTTATTTCTTTATGTGAAGTTGTTGGCTTCCCTGCTGAGTTCATTATAACCGGGATTGAACTTTTTTCCTTATTCAATTTGATCTGGTTTGCGAGGTATTTACCTGATTTATTGCAATGAAGAAAGTGTTCTTGTCTTAGCCTGTGAGTGAGGAATTGCATTCTTTTGTTTGTTATATGATTTAGTTCATGTTTTAGATTTAATAATTCTTTTTCTGAATTGGGAGTTGGGGTAGTCATATTTTTTTGTTCCAGTGTTTTTATTTGTTGTTCTAGATTCTGTTCAAGTTCTTTTTCTTTTCTGGATTTGTGGACCGAGAAGGCAATGATCGACCTGTCAAGACCGCCTTCCCTGTCTGCCACAAGAGAGAGGGTGATATCTTCGGGGAGTCATTGAATTCCATAAAGGATGTCCACTCTCTCCGGAGAAACTTGTCAAAGTCTGGGTCTGAGAGAAGAGATGTGTTAAACCTCCATCTGGAGGGTGGTTTGGGTTGGTCAGAGTAGTTCCAGGTGATTGATACTGGGGCGTGATCGCTGATTATTATGGGGTGGATCTGCTGTTCTGTGATTTGTGGTATGATGGAGTTACTACTGAGTATTAGATCAATCCGAGAGTATGAATGATGAACAGGTGAGTAAAATGTATATTGCTCAGTTGTTGGGTGGTTAAGTCGCCAACAATCGCCAAGACCAAAATCTTTGATGCGTTGTTTTAGCGTTTCAGTGGATTGAGAGACACGTGGATTGTTGTTGTTGGACCGGTCTATTGAGGGGTCGAGTACTGTATTGAAGTCTCCGGCAAGAATGATTGGGCAGTTAGAGAGATTTGTGAGGTGGGAAAAGATATTTTGGAAGAAAGTGGGATCATCGGTGTTAGGTCCATACAGATTACCGATTGTAACAGGGTGGTTGTTTATGCAGATATTAATAATTATGTAGCGTCCCTCAGGGTCTGAGACAGTTGAATTATGTACAAAATGAGTATTTCTATTTATTAGAATACAAACACCTCTCTGTTTGCTGTTATAGTGGGATGAGAATAACTGGTTGTATTGTTGTGATTTGATATTGTTGAATGTTGAATTTGTCAGGTGGGTTTCTTGCAAGAGGCAGATGTCAGCATTGAGTTTGGATAGGTGGTCTAGTACTTTGAGCTTTTTCTTCTGATTACCAAGTCCGCGAATATTCCATGAGACTATTTTAACAGTTATCATATTAGTTGCAGATTGTATTTATCATAGAGATCATGTATGTTTGGTTGTGCGTGTGAGGGTGTAGATGCGTGTGTGAGTGTGGATGCGCGAGTGAGGGGGGAACAACAAGCTTGTTGGGGAGTTGGGTGTGAGGGGGAGGGACAAATATGAGGTGAGAAGTGGGGAGTCCGAAGTGCATCTAAAACAAATCCAAGATTGAGGGAGAGAGAGGCCTTCCCCACGCCGGAGATAAAAGAAAGAAACAACAACAGCAAAATAATACAAACAGTGATTCAATATATTATTGTTACTAATAGCAATAATACTGAAAGAAAAAATAAATAAATATTGATGCAAATCGAGTTTGTTCAGCTTTACCTATGCATAAGAGTGAAGCGGTTGTGTCGCTCAGATGACGTCATCGTTGTGTGCCAATGTTTACTACCGAAGTTTACTCACGTGTGGCTGCCTCGTCGCCACCAGAGAGCCAGTATGTGACACGTCAATATTTAAGAAAAAGGTTTCCCTATCAAGTTTGAGTGCACAGTGCACTTCGATCAACTGCAAATGATTTAAATAAATCTACCAGCGGTAGTGATATTCTGAACGTTATTTTCTGCGATAAAGCCACAGACACGGTCCGCCAGAGCAAGCCTAGTGTCAGTTGTTGCTGATGCACCAGGTAAAGATGAAGTGTGGGAAAGTGCACAAACAGCTGCCTTGTGCGCAGTTTTGAGCTGGTGGCGAATCAAAACTTTTTTCTCATTACTCCCATATATGCAATTTTTTATGGCAAAGTACGCACAAGCACCGGCCACTTTCATCTTTTCGCACCATGACTCGTTGATTGGCTCTTTTACATCACGCTGAGTTTTGCAAGAAGATCGCAAACAAGACAATATCAAAAGCTCACCAAGACATGTTTGTCCCCATTCCCAGTTGCAGCAAAGTCCGTTTTGTACATTCCGTTAAGTAAAATAGCATTGCGTTTGGTAAACGTTAATTACCTTTAGTCTATTACGCGCCCAGCTTACCAGTCCGCGGATCTGCTGCTGTTATTGCTCCGTTCGAGATTCAATTTTCCTCCTCTTCTCCTTTTCAAAAGCTCCGTGCAGTTTCCAGAAACTTTCACCTCAGTGTTACCAATGCTAACTTCATCGCGTCTTCATTTGCGCGTGAGCTCAGCTACGTCCCATTGCCTTGATTCATTTGCGGAGCGCTCATGTGGCCACGGCACGTTCAAGGCCCACGTCATTATATTACTTATTATTTCTATATACATATAAATACAATTATATTCAAATTATTATTATACATCAATATATATATATAACAGATTCACACGTATATGTATTACTATATATTATTTTTATAATCAATCATTTCATTGTGTGTATTATTATCATTATATATACATTTTTTTTTTTTTTTCCAGACCAATTTCATTTGACGGAAATCCGTCACCTAGACGGAACTCTTTAATCCCTGGGTTAGACGCTTAACCTGCCGCTCGGCCGCAACGTGTTGGAGTTCTCCCCGGTGAATGACAGAGTCGCGACCCTCCGCCTCAGGGTGGGGAAAGGTCTCTCACAGTTGTGGCGGCCTACCGGCCAAACAGCAGTGCAGATTACGGGGCCTTCTTGGAGTCTTTGGGAGGGGTATTGGATGGTGCTCTGACCGGGGACTGGGAAGAACAGCCAACCTGATCTGAACCCGAGCGATGTTCAGCAGTTGGACTTCTGTGCTAGTCACAGTTTTCCCACAATTTGGTGCTCGACAGTGCCTTGTCCTTTCCAGGTGGGTGGAGAGGTCCTTCCTCAAGTAGAAGAGTTCAAGTATCTCGGGGTCTGGTTCATGAGTGAGGGAAGGAGGATTGAATGGTGGATTGGTGCAGCCTGCACCAATTATGTAACATTATGTAAAGAGGCTGGAGGAGAACTGACCTACAGCCAGGCAGGTAGTGATGCCAGTGAACTGGGCGAGCTGCCGGGCCACAGAGTGCACCTGGATACCCAGCTCTCGGGTGGGCACCAGGGCCAGGACACGGGTGAGCTGGGTGCTGCGTGGTTTGTACAGCAGACGCTCCAGGATGGGTAGCATGAAGGCGGCAGTCTTCCCTGGAACAGACACACATTCATTTGACCACTAAAGAATAATAGGAGTGGAGTTTGGGAAAATATGCATTACATTTTTCTGACAAACATTGGGATTGCGATTTATAATATATCTTAAAAGCCAAAGAAGTATTACAGTCTGTCACAATACTGCACCTCTTTTTGTGACCACACAGTGGCACTCCGAATACTTTCAAAGCTCCAAGGAAAGTACTTATTGATGACCCGGACGCCAAGATAGATAATATAAATTACATGTGTGTTTACGAGTTTATCAGACAAAATCTTCCACTTTATCAATCTATAAATTACATTTTTATTTACTTACAAAATGATTTATACATATTTTTTGGTTAGTGGTCTGCATTAGTGCAGTAGCAAAGTGACATGTTCAGACCCAGGGCAGCCATGTAACTTCCATCACTTCCCTATTTAGGCAACATTATTTTATCAGAAAAATAGTGTGTCACAAATAAAACGAGGGTTACGTATGTAACCACGGTTCTATGAATCCCGGATGACCGCCAGAGGGCGGTGCATAGCACTGAATGTTCCCTTCGCGCATGCGCAGTTCGAGTAATAATACCAAATGAGTCACACCTGTGACCCCCTGGGTGACACACCGGAGGTAATAAAGTCCAGCGTCATCCAGCACTCTGTTCCTGCAGAATCTTCTCGCGGATGCAAGGACCCTGAGTGACAGAGCGCCTCTGGCGGTCATCCGGGATTCATAGAACCGTGGTTACATACGTAACCCTCGTTCTATTTCATCCCTTCAGACCGCCAGAGGGCGGTGCATAGCACTGAATGACCTTATACCAGCTATGTCACGAAGGAACTTGACCACACACCTCACGGAGGAGAGCCAGAGGATTCCTGAAGGACCACGCCAAGAGGAGCCGGAGTGGCCACATTGATGTTATAGAATCTGGTGAACGTGCTCGGTGTAGCCCAAGACGCAGCAGCACAAATAGTTCCCAACGGCACCCCGCGCATAGCGGCCCAGGAGGTAGAGACACCCCTGGTAGAATGAGCCCTCACCGTGGCTGGCGGGTCGCGGCCGGCCGAAATATACGCCTGACTGATAACGTCAACCACCCAGTGGGAAAGGCGTTGCTTCGAAAGCGGACTCCCCAGTCTAGCACCACCATAAGCAACAAAGAGCTGGTCTGAGCGCCTCACACCTGCCGTCGCAGCAACGTAGGCCTCCAATGCCCTCACAGGACACAGCAGGTGCAGTCTGTCCTCACCCCCATCCAGGGGGGACACAAACCGCGCCAACCTCAAAGGCCGGTTACAATAGTCACGGGAAAGCACCTTAGGGAGGAAAGTGGGATTAGGCCACAAGACTACGCCAGCCCTCTCAGGGTCCCAGTGTAGGCATGAGGGACTGACAGAAAGTGCATGTAACTCACCGACCCTTTTTGCAGAGACCCCAGCCAACAGGAAAGCAGTCTTATAGGAGAGCCACTTGAGGTCCGTTCGGGCCAATGGCTCATACGGAGGGCGGCAGAGAGACTCCAACACCAAGGCCAGGTCCCAAACCGGAGACCGCGCGGGCACGCGAGGGTGCAGCCTACGAGCTCCGCGTAAAAAGAGAGACACCAGGTTATGGCCCCCCACAGTACAGTTATCAACCAGGCCATGATAACATGAAATAGCAGCAACATATACCTTCAGAGTAGATGGGGCCCGACCTTCATCCAGGAGAGACTGAAGGAATTCCAGGACAACCGCCACCGGGCACGACACGGGATCCCGACCGCGGGAAGAACACCAGCGGGAGAACAACTTCCACCTGTTCTCATACAGCCGCCGAGTAGAGGCCGCCCTGGCATTCAGGAGTGTACGCCTGACCGGGCCAGTGACATCGAGTGCCCGCAGCTCGGGCCAGCCAACGGCCATACCCATAACTTGAGGCGGTGAGGACAGGGATGCCACACCTGACCGTCCAGCTGTGAGAGCAGATCCCGCCTGGGAGGGAGAGGCCAGGGGGGAGCCCAACAAAGTCTGAGTAGCAGTGGAAACCAGGGCCGTGCAGGCCAAAACGGAGCCACCAGTAATAAACTGTGCCCCGCCCGAAGGACCCTCTGGAGGGTTGGCCAGATCAGAGGAAAAGGGGGAAAGGCGTACAGGAGGGCCTGAGGCCAACTGTGAAGGCCTCAGGCCTCAGGCCAACTGCGGAAGGTTCCGCAGTCAATCAATAATTGATTGACTGCGGAACCTTCCGCAGTCAACCATTGGTTTTGTATTTCTTTATTCCGTCATTTTTTTTGACACGTTTCACAGCTTTCACATTTTCAACAATTTCCACAAGTTATACATCAAAACGTTCCACATGTTTGGGAGATTATTGCTATTACTTTTGGGACTTCAGCGATTTCCGGTTTTTCCGCAATCGGACAAAAATCTGCATTGAGAATTCTGCAATGCATTTTAATAGGCCCATGCATTTTAATAGGACTTCAGCTCTTTCAGACATTTCTACAGTTTCAATGATTCAACAGTTTCAAGGATTCAACAGTTTCAAGGATTTCAGCAGTTTCAAGATTTCAAGAGTTTCAAGGACTTCAACAGTTTCAAGGACTTCAGCAGTTTCAAGGACTTCAGCAGTTTCAAGGACTTCAGCAGTTTCAAGGACTTCAGTGTAATCATGCAACCTAATAGGGATTTTTCCATGTAAACCAGTATAATGCAACTTAATAGGGATTTTTCCATGTAAACCAGTATAATGCAACTTAATAGGGTTTTTTCATGTAAACCAGTATAATGCAACTTAATAGGGTTTTTTCATGTAAACCAGTATAATGCAACTTAATAGGGTTTTTTTTCATGTAAACCAGTATAATGCAACTTAATGGGGATTTTTCCATGTAAACCAGTATAATGCAACTTAATAGGGGTTTTTACATGTAAACCAGTATAATGCAACTTAATAGGGTTTTTTCCATGTAAACCAGTATAATGCAACTTAATAGGGATTTTTCCATGTAAACCAGTATAATGCAACTTAATAGGGGTTTTTACATGTAAACCAGTATAATGCAACTTAATGGGGATTTTTCCATGTAAACCAGTATAATGCAACTTAATAGGGGTTTTTACATGTAAACCAGTATAATGCAACTTAATAGGGTTTTTTCCATGTAAACCAGTATAATGCAACTTAATAGGGATTTTTCCATGTAAACCAGTATAATGCAACTTAATAGGGTTTTTTTCATGTAAACCAGTATAATGCCACTTAATAGGGTTTTTTCATGTAAACCAGTATAATGCAACTTAATGGGGATTTTTCCATGTAAACCAGTATAATGCAACTTAATAGGGGTTTTTACATGTAAACCAGTATAATGCAACTTAATAGGGGTTTTTTACATGTAAACCAGTATAATGGAACTTAATAGGGGTTTTTACATGTAAACCAGTATAATGCAACTTAATAGGGATTTTTACATGTAAACCAGTATAATGCAACTTAATAGGGTTTTTTACATGTAAACCAGTATAATGCAACTTAATGGGGATTTTTCCATGTAAACCAGTATAATGCAACTTAATAGGGGTTTTTACATGTAAACCAGTATAAAGGATAACAGTTTAAAGGATATCAGGAGCTTCAAATACTTCAGGAGTTTCAAAGATGTTTAAAGTATTTTAACAGTTTTTTTCAGCAAGGATTTTTCAGCTAAATTCCACATTAGATCTGTTTCGCAGTCAATCGCAATGGCTTCAGCCATTGCAACGGTTTCTAGTAATTATATAGTAATGATAAGAATAATATTTAATGTATTCCTAATTGATTGACTGCGGAACCTTCCGCAGTCAACCATTGGTTTTGTATTTCTTTATTCCGTCATTTTTTTTTGACACGTTTCACAGCTTTCACATTTTCAACAATTTCCACAAGTTATACATCAAAACGTTCCACATGTTTGGGAGATTATTGCTATTACTTTTGGGACTTCAGCGATTTCCGGTTTTTCCGCAATCGGACAAAAATCTGCATTGAGAATTCTGCAATGCATTTTAATAGGCCCATGCATTTTAATAGGACTTCAGCTCTTTCAGACATTTCTACAGTTTCAATGATTCAACAGTTTCAAGGATTCAACAGTTTCAAGGATTTCAGCAGTTTCAAGATTTCAAGAGTTTCAAGGACTTCAACAGTTTCAAGGACTTCAGCAGTTTCAAGGACTTCAGCAGTTTCAAGGACTTCAGCAGTTTCAAGGACTTCAGTGTAATCATGCAACCTAATAGGGATTTTTCCATGTAAACCAGTATAATGCAACTTAATAGGGATTTTTCCATGTAAACCAGTATAATGCAACTTAATAGGGTTTTTTCATGTAAACCAGTATAATGCAACTTAATAGGGTTTTTTTTCATGTAAACCAGTATAATGCAACTTAATGGGGATTTTTCCATGTAAACCAGTATAATGCAACTTAATAGGGGTTTTTTCATGTAAACCAGTATAATGCAACTTAATAGGGATTTTTCCATGTAAACCAGTATAATGCAACTTAATAGGGATTTTTCCATGTAAACCAGTATAATGCAACTTAATAGGGATTTTTCCATGTAAACCAGTATAATGCAACTTAATAGGGATTTTTCCATGTAAACCAGTATAATGCAACTTAATAGGGGTTTTTACATGTAAACCAGTATAATGCAACTTAATAGGGTTTTTTACATGTAAACCAGTATTATGCAACTTAATAGGGATTTTTCCATGTAAACCAGTATAATGCAACTTAATAGGGTTTTTTTTTCATGTAAACCAGTATAATGGAACTTAATAGGGATTTTTCCATGTAAACCAGTATAATGCAACTTAATAGGGTTTTTTTCATGTAAACCAGTATAATGCAACTTAATGGGGATTTTTCCATGTAAACCAGTATTATGCAACTTAATAGGGATTTTTCCATGTAAACCAGTATAATGCAACTTAATAGGGTTTTTTTCATGTAAACCAGTATAATGCAACTTAATAG